GGGGGGGGGGGGGGGGGGGGGGGCAGTCTTTCTTTTCCCCTTGGTGTGGCGTGCCTGGCCCGGGGTCCTGTGGTGATGGGGTCTATTCGGCTTTTTGGTTTTCATTCGACCACTCGCACCTCCGTTTTGCCATTTGTTTCCGAGCAGCTCGTCTGCCCTAGTTTTCCGTGCTATTGCTCAACATCAGGTGGGTTTACAAAGCACAGATACCCGGAGGTCCAGCAACAACGTAGGTGAGCAAATGAGACGGTTGTTCTTGAACTGCATTACAAGCATCAAAATCTGCGGCACATGGTGTTGTTACCTGGAGCTCACTGCCTTGCCCATGCGCTCAAGAGGGACATTATGTCCTGAGCTCAAATTTTAATGTAATGAACGTAATGAATGTAATGAATGTAATGAAGGTATTGAATGTATTGAATGTAATGAATGTAGTGAATGTAGTGAATGTAATGAATGTAATCAATGCACGACAAAGAAGCGAATAGAAGCGAACGGAATAAGACAATCATGGGACAGATGTTGTTGAGCGCTTGGACGCGAAAGTCCAGGCACGCTGCGTTCGCCGGCCGTAATTTGCAAGCCCTTGAGAAAGTCCGGAACCCACTTCCGCAGAGACCTGCATAGTCAATGTACGGTTTTATGCCCAACTACCATCCACAACTTTTGTTGATGACCGCAGCTGAGCCTCCATCTCCTGTGACCAATGAAGAGGCCATTGCAATTCACGCTGGACGCACCTCCTCTGTTTGAGGGAGAATGCGTACTGCCGATTGCTATTCATCACCACTCATTTTTTACTTTGAATTGGCATTATAGTCTAAACATTATTAGTGTTGATCTCACAAGAATGGCTAGTCTTACTGCAGTTGTTGTTATCTTGTTCGAATAAGTTTACACATCGCAACATTGAGCTAGATACCAGTAGCGCCCGCACTGACTGGGTGTCAGCTGCTAGAATGATGAGCACATGATGGCCGTTTTTACGTGTACGCGTTTCTCATATGTCAATTGCGTTTTCTGGAGCTTGGACCTTTGCCAAACCCGAAGCCCCAATCCAAAAACAAATTCCCGCTGCAACACGGCAACCCGCCGTACATCAGGAGCCATAGTGCCAGCTCTTAGGATGCCGTGCAGAAGAGGGCTCATGCGGACCAACCCAAATCCCTTTGAAACCCTCATGCAAAGTGGCATGGAAACAGCCATGGGCAGCCAGCTTCGTTCACCCCCGAAGCCCTGAAGCCTGAAGCTGGGATCGAAGGCGCAGCAACGGGTATCGCAGGGCCTTCGCCTAGCAGACCTGGGCTGCTGAGGCGGTGCCAGGATTCCGAGTCATTAGCTCTTCTTCTTGTCGTGTTGCTTGTCCTTGATCGCTGTGTTGCGATGGTTGGTAAGTGTCAGTCGCATTGTTGCTCTTCCTCGGATTGCACAACCATAGGTCCGATGATGATCATGATGATGATGATGACGATGATGATGATAGTGCTGGTGATGATGATAATGGTTGTTGCTGTGGACGCTATGCTGTCTCAGTCACGGCAAGTTCCCAAGGTCGGCAGCTGTCCGAAACGCGGCGCGTTGGGTCTCTTGAGATCCTCCGACGTGACGGACAAAACGCAATGAGCACACTGCGAGAGCAGTGTCAAGTGGCCCAGCCATTGTTTCACGCTAGCTGTTCGGGTTTTAGCTTGCTCCCATCATGCGGGGTGATGTGGTGGAGCTCATGCGGAGAAACGGCTGCAGCAGTTTGTTCACATGGTCCTTTGCCAGGCACAGCTATACTGCGCAGTGTGATTTTTCAGGCAGAAAGGCGAAGACTGCAACGCGCAACTCAGCCCTTTGCAGTAGAAGCCTGCTGCCGCAGAGCCCAGGCGGGGATGGGAGTTCCAGGCCGACCACGAGGAGGCGACCAGAAGCTTTTGAGTTTGAAATCATCTCGAAGCCCGTGGGTCGCTGAAAGCATCGGAGAAGCAATATGCAGGAGCACGAAGATCTGAACCTACCGCTCTTTCCGAGCACAAAGCCTTGGCCTGAACTTTTCGGGTTCTGGCTTGGGGTCGATCACTGACTTAGTCTGACATGACGGAGATCTGATCAAAGCCTTAGGAGCCATCTGCCCACCCCTGACCACCCGAAGCGAAAGCCAGCACCACTCCTGGCCAAGGATGAATATCCCGAAGACGTTGACGGAGGACGAGTGTCTTGTGACAGCAGCCTTTCGCCGCTAAGACGCCAAGAGAGATCCCCGAAGGAGAAGAACCTGGCGGAGCTCCTCTTCGACGATCAGGAGGAGAGCTCCGGTCCCTACGCTTGGATTGAGCACACGCCCGGACCTCAGCTCCGGCTCGGCTGGTAAGCGGGCCCGGTGCAAGCCCAGGTGGGCACAGACCGTGGTCGCTGCCGTGATCGTCCTAAACGCCGTGCTCTTTGGCCCGGCCCTGAGTATCCCCACGTCCCCGGCACAGTCCTGATTCTGTTTTGCTCCCCGAGGCTTGGAGTCCGACATCCGATCGGGACTCTGGGTACGCCAGCCGGCTCTTCGAGGGGGTTGCCTCACCTGTAACCTCATTGCCGAAGTGTTTGTGGCTGTGGGGAGGTTGGCTGTACGGTCGCCTGAAGCGGAAAGCGGAAAGTGCACCCCTGGCGCAGGCACCCATCGAGCACGTGATCTTGATCATCTTCGGAGCAGAGAGCCGCACTTAGGACAGTGGACTCGGTCAGGCGGTTTTAGGTTAATGTTGAGGAATCGCAGGTGTGAACGCTGCGGGGATGTAGACTGTCAACTTGACCTGGTCAGGAGCCCCCAAATGACTCCCGAGCTCAAGGAAACTCCAATTCTAAAAGTTAAGCTGTTTACGCCCTTCAACCTCCTCAGTTTGACTTGTCGCAGGGTGGCAGCCGTCATGAGCCCTTGATTAGCCTCTCGACTTTCCAACCAAGGCAGGCGATCCGAATGGCCCGCCTGGAGCCCAAACCACGGCTGTCAATGCCCTGAACATCTGGCCCGAAGCCCATGCTCAGCTGGCTTAGGCTATGGCCTCTCTTACTTCAGCCTCAACCTCAGCAGCGGTTGATCAGCTTTGGGCCCTCGAGCTTGATCATCTCCCCGAATCTTAGATTCGCATCACAGCTGGAGCACCATTGAAAGAGCTCAAAAAAGCTAGAGAAATCCTAGAGATTTCCTCTAATGAAAGCCCAAAAATCTAAAGAAATCCTTCACTGATAATCCAGCGAGAAAAAGAATTCTTTAGCCTTTCGTGGAATTTCATTAACAATCCTTTTGCCGGGCCCGGCCGAAAACTGAGCAAAGTTTAGTTTTTTTTAGCTTTTTTTAGTTTTGTTTAGCTTTCTCTAGGTTTTTTTGCTTTTTGTTGGAATTCTTTAGCCTTTCGTGGAATTTCCGTAAAAACTCCTTTTGAACCTAAAACCCTAAACTTTAAACCCTCAACCCATAGGCCCCTTTTTACAACAGGCTTGTCTAGGACTAGGACCTTAAACCACCGTTCCACTCACAACATCATTGTGGGAAACATTTTGCTTTTTCTAGCTTTTCTTAGCTTTTCTTAGCTTCCATGTTTTTCCGGTATTTTTCCTGCAATGCTGAAGAAGTAGGCCTTGAAGCGGTAAGGGATTGGAATGTATGACCGAAAAGAGGTGCCACTCCGCAACAAGAAGCAATAGCAAAGCTTGCTAGGCAGCTTGGGAAACTTGTTCGACCTCTTCATCGTTCTCTGTGGAGCCACGGACCTCTGGGAACTGTGCTCAGCTCGAGATAGCACCATAGGGTTGTCAGAAAACTTGTTTCAGCTGAAACACAACTGCCGTTGCGGCAACAACAGCTGCTGCTGCGCCTTCTACTGCTGCTGCTGCTTCTGCTGTTGCTGGTACCACTACCACCACTACTACTACTACTACTACTACCACTACTACTACTCCTGCTACTCCTACTCCTACTACTCCTGCTCCTACTACTCCTACTCCTACTGCCATTGCTACTGCTACTGCTACTGCTACTGCTACTCCTACTGCTACTGCTACTGCTGCTGCTCCTGCTGCTGCTGCTACTGCTGAGGCTGCTGCTGCTGCTGCTTCAATTCCTCCTACTCCTGCTGCTCCGCCTCCTTCGAACTACCTTGGCTACTCCTGTGATTGCTGCCGCAGCTACTACTGCTACTGCCGCTACCCATGTTGCTGCGAAGATCCGGAAGGGTTCCCCAAAGGACGGGCTTACAGTAAAAAGATCAGCAAGTGACCAAGCTCTCACTGTGTGCGCAGCTTCCAATGAGCACGGCTTTTCGCAGCAGACGTAAAACCAATGTGCCGTCTTGCCACCTTACAACATCATCACACTGGGGATGTAGCAACAAAGTCCGAAATCTGAAGCTAACTCTCTCAGAACCAGAGAAGAAATCTCACGGTGCTGCAAGAAGCCCTCGCCTAATGATCAGCCGTCGCAGTGCCACTATCTTCGGCTTGACCGCTTTGCTTTCGTCCAAGCTGCACCTCGGTTGCAGTCATCGCATGGCACATGAGTTCTGTTCAAGCCTCAGACGGGCAGTGGGTGATGCTGCCAAGGATATACAACATCCAGAACCGCGTGGAGGAAGACAAGGCAAGCGCGCTGAGTGTAGTGGGTGTACACTGGACACCGTCGCATGCGCCAGTTGGAGAACATGGATTACATTACCACGTTCGCGTGCGACCTCAAGCAAGTGTACGAAAGCAGTACACAAGAAGGTGTTCCGATGTGAGTGTCAACGGGACCGAGGCAAACTGTTTGCAGTGACCTTCCAGGCAAAGATGCACCGTGAGCCACCCAAGACGGCCTTCGTCCTAGACATGTCACCAATCCTCCACGCCTGCCAGAGGTTTGGGCACCTGGAGCTGTTGGTGCGAGATTGGGTGAACTACGAGGTGACGTCATGTTTGGGACACTGCATTGGGGGACTGCCACGCTGCTCGCAGGATGGATTTAACATTGGTGAATGCAAGGTCGGTGATTCGATTTGTGACCGTGCTTTCGGTCGATTTTCTGTTCTTCGACCGCGTGCCAAAGGAACAGATGCGGGAACATTTGGATGATCATCTTAGTGAGAAGAAGGTTCCAGAGGCCGCTTGTGGCACGGATGGGACACGCCGGGGTTGGAGTCTTCCCATGATCCGAACAGGATGCCAAGCCGCGGGTCCGTGGCCAAGCGCCGCTTGGGTTCTCAGCTTCTGCGGTCGCTTCCAAGGTAGAGCGACTCAAGTCCACGTTCCGCAGTGCGGGCCCTAGCCGCAAGCCATCAAAAACATGAGACAGAACAATTTTTGCCCTGGTGATTGGCATTTTCTGCAAGAGCTTGGAGTAAAGATTCTTCAAGTTGCGCAGTCCTTTTCTCTAAAATCCCCCCACACTCCAGATGCGGCGCTTGAGGCGCAGCAAGATTGAGGTCAAGTTGTATTCCAGGGCTCACAAGATGCATCCCTAGCCTTTGGTCTGGCATATTGGTTGCAATTGCGACATAAATCGAATCGCAGAGCTTTCAGATGCTGACCACGGCACATGCTGAAGACTGTTTCTGTGGGAGGTGAACCTTTCGCGCTACTTAGGTATAGCAGCCTGGGGCCTGCCTCATCCCGGTCTGAAAGTCACAAAGCCTGCTCCCCGGGCAAAGCCGCTCCTGCTGGGCTTGTCTGCGCCGTCTCACCAGGCCCACATACACTGGAGAGATAGAGTCCATCGACACTGACTTCCTGTACTTGTTGGACCCCTTGCTGTGGTGAGGAGCTGCATTACAGACTTCCCGCGTTTCCACCCCCCAGGACAAGTTCAGTGAAGACTTCTTCGGTGGCGGGAAGTTTCCACAGCCGTCAGCCAGAAGCCCAGACTACGAGCTACTCCAGGAATTCGCAGTGTCCATTTGAAGGCCCCTTTGGGCTGCGAGATCACCACGACAGGTTTCCAGCAGGTTGCTTTTGCCTGAGATCCGCTGCGTCATCGTTTTGAGACCGGTCTCTCTACACTTACCACTACTTGTGGGCATCAGGTCATGAACTTTGCCAAGGCACCCAGCGAAGACTTGGCAGCTGCTTGGATGGCGGTAGTGTCACTGTCACTGGCCGCGGCAGGCGTTCAAAGAAAATGCGCAGGACATGGCAATCGGACTGAGAGAAGCCTAGGGCTTAGGAAGCCGAAGGATTTTTTGGCATCAGGATGTCTTCAACTGCTGAGGCTTTCGTGAAAGTGGAGACAGTGTCCGTGAAAGAGGACTTGCAAAAACGCTTCAGGCCACTGCGAAGTAGCACTTTGGACGGAGCTTTGCAGTGTTGGCTTGGACATCTCCGCTCAGGGAGACGCTGAAGAAGTTAGCGCCAGAGTCCCGGGTTCTTGACCCTCCGCAGCTGAAGCAAGACCTGGTGCGGGCCTGAGAAGAAGCTGAAGAAGCCTTGAGCCGGCCTGGCCAGCTCGTGACGCCTCAGGATGGGCTGCTCTCCAGAATTATGGAGGAGTTTAAGCTCAAGCCGGGACCCAAGCGACATGCCTCGGCGTCTGTCGGCCTGTTGGTTGCGCCAAGACTAAAGCCCTGGCGAATGCCAGCACCGGACGAAGAACAGGCGTTTGTCCGGAGAACCGCAATAGTTCCTGCATGATCAGCGAGACATCCTGTTGCAGGCTGTGACAGATTTTCAGCAGGTGCTTGCTGAGGCCAGGGCTTCTTGCCGAGCGCCACATAGCACCATGCATGTATTTTTTCCATTATGTTTCCTAGTGCAGGCTGTGCAGCAGAGAATCTTAGTGAACGACCAGCAGGTGGGCATGTTGCAAGTTTGGTTTGCTGTGGCATTGTGCGGTGTAGTTTGGTCGAGAGGTAGCCGTGCTTGGGGACAGAGCTTGCAGACACACGAGATGGAACCTTCCGCAGTCTTTGCTTTCAAGCAAAAGACAGAAGGACCGGACTGACGGTCCCTGCTTTCACCAGGCAGTCGTGTTGCCTTGAGGGCTACTGACCTGGCAAGCATTGCAAGAACTTCAGAAGCCAAGCAGCTTGGCTGTGGAGTTCAGGCAGCCAAAACGAGATTCCTTGAGATTCCGAGTCTGAGTGCGGTGAGTGCAGTGAGTGCAGTGCTCTCAGGGAACCATGGAGCTTGGAGCAGCAGGATATGCCGCTGCCGGTGCAGCCGCGGCGGGAGGCGTTGGGGTTGGCCTTTTTGGCTACAACCGCGGAAATTACATGATGGATCAGAAGCATCAGCCTGAGTTGGGCCATGTTTGCCCATGTTTGGCTGTTTGTGGTGATTGTGCAGGTAGCCATGCTTGCAGTTTGCATTGTTTCCCAGGCTTCATTGGTCTCGATTCAATGCTGGCTTCGGCATGGCGTGTGCGCAGACAGATCAGTACAAAGAAGACTTGGTAGATCTGACAACCCTTACAACAAATCGAATGCACGTCTATGCGGACATTGCCGGCATGACGGCCACCATTCTCACGGCAATCTTTTGCCCTGGTCGAGTTGGATTACACACACCTCCACCACCTGGCTGGTACATGGGCCTCATGATGGTGAATGTTGGCGGTGCTTACATTTGGCTTGGTCTTACCATGTGGCTGGCCATGCATGCTTGCCTGCGTGCAAACGCAGCAACTTGCCACATGCTCACTCGATTCGTGAGGCTTCCCATTCCAGCCAACTGGATGCTGGATCGTGCCCGAAAGTTCTTGG